TGAGACCATTCAGGGCATTCCTGTGCCCAGACCTTGTAGGCAAAATAAGCTTGATTTAGACAAATGTAAGATAATGATAGCGATCTTGTCTTGATTTTTGTGAAAGAACATTAAGCCAGATCTGTAGAAGTTGCTGGCTCCTTTACGTGCTAAATAAGTCCCACTTGTATTCCTGGAAGTTCAGGGATGTGGAATGGTCCAGTTTACCTTATCCCTAAGATAAACTGGATATTCATAATGTATTAGAGAATGCTGATTTTCTGAAAACTGGATAGTAAAACTAACTCCAGAGACATGGGCTTCATGAGTGGACTACTGTGGATAATGCTGGGTGAAAATGTACCCTTGATAAGATACGTAAACTGAAAAATTAATTGAGAGAGAGATATGCTTTTGGTGCTGTTAATGACCATGCCTATCTTTACTGATTAAACAGTGACTGAGTTATTTCTTCATACCATGACCTTACTAATTTCTCACAATAATGCTACTATTTTGCCCAAAATGAGTTTAGGGTTTCAGCCTTACCTTGGTGAGCAGTTAACTAGATCTTGGGTAAATTGCTTTCTAATTTTCCTTTTCATTTCTAGGTATAAATGGATATCCCTATGTCAATTCTCTCACAAGGTTATATTAAAAATACTATAATAAGACATATTTGGGGATAGCCAAGATTTGGTGTCATATAAGTGAACAGAAATATTGTTAATAAAACATTACAGACAAGTGGAAAGAGAAGTAAAGTAATGATGCAAACATCTGCTCCCAAGAAACACGCACTTAGAGGAATTCTGCCCATTAACTGGGGTAAAAGCATTTGTAAATATGCACACTGGAATCTAAAAGCACACATGATGGTAGTGCGGGAAAATGAATTAAAATCACACCCACTATATGTGTTCTTTATGTGTGAACCTGTCTCTGCTAAGAACCAGTAAATTAGAAATACCGAAACCAACAGAGTATAACCTTAAAAGTATAGCACTGAGAAAAAATGTCTTTTAAATATGTAGGGGATTCACTGTAATTGGGGAGCCGGCGCTCCCTGTGGGTTGCCGGTAAAGTTCAGATGTTCAGTCCGCGTGTCTGAATGTAGAACGTCCACAGTGTCTGACTGCCCTGTGTCCACACCATTCTCATGTGCCTTCTATGACTAAGGAAAATCTGAGAGTAACCAGCAGTTGCAATTGACTCTCCAGGTTCATGGCTAAAGCCTATGATTTGAAGTCTTTGTTGTTATAACAGTGGATAAGAAAAATGTGTAAAGCACTTCTTAGACACAGGCTTGTGGTGGGATGACAGGACAGAGCGGAGCATTCTGTTTCTTTGGAAAATATCTATCTTAGAACCTCTAAAATGGCCCAATACACGGGGTCATGGATGACACAGCTGTAATTTTCTTTTGGCATTTTTAGACTGATACAGTTACTGTAAGAGGCTATCCAATAAACTGACTCCAATAATGGGAACATTATTGTATCACTAATGAGAACTCCAGGTATGCAATAGCTCAACTTTATTCTGCCATCTACCTCATCTTTCTAGTCTCTTCTACTGCAATGTTATCCCTTATGGTACCCTCGTGCCCAAACATCTAGGGAAAGGAAGGAAGGAAGAGTAGGGACAGAAATATTTTTTCCCTCTCATGTCTCTCTCTTCCTTTTTTTTCAAGGGAAAAGTGATTTTCAAGATACCCCACAGAATATATGTCTTTATATCCTATTGGATAAAACTGGTTGTAAGGTTACCCCTTGCTGGAAGTTGGCTAAAGGGAGATGGGATGACCACGGGTTCAGAACACTCATAATTGGTTCCCTGGGCCTGAACATTTTGTTGCCTGAACAAAATTGGGTTCTTTCATTTTCTAGTTTGGAAATGGGGGCAGTGATTTTTGGGCCCATGGATATATGACAGTTTTTACCACAAAGACTTCAAAACTTCCAATTACTAATTTGCATTCATGGAAGAGTGAAATATGTCATTTCTTTCTCTTCTTTTTTTGTCTTCAGAGTGGAAATTTTCAGAAAATGGAACCATATCCATTATAAGCTCTTCAGAAACCTGATGTCACAGCCAGCGGGACTGAATCTGCCATCAGATATTATGGGATTTGAGGCTTACCACTAGGACTCAGTTTCCCCGCCTATAAATTGTTCCCCTGGGGACCACCCTGTTACAAAGTAAGACTGATGGGATTAGATAAACTACTTAGTAGATCATTTCTCATTTTAAGTTTATGAAGGTTTTGAATTGGTAGTTCACTTATACTTGATAGCTTTCAAATTAAAAGTAATTTTATAGTAATTTTGTAATTTACAGTCACACCTTGTACCCTATTGATCCCGAAGAACTGCTGTGATTTACAATTTGTAGAGGAAGACAGCAGTTAGAGGAGACTAGTTCACCACTTGTATTTATATTCTGACTAACACAATTACACTTAGATACGAAATCTAATCAGGGAAATGTTTTGAAGTCAGACTTCCCAAAAGAGTGTTACTAAGTGGTCTGAAAGGAATCAGTTCTGAGGCAAAAATAAATTTAGGAGGTGCTGGATTAATCACAGAAACATTTCTTTATCACTGTATTTCTCAGAAGATTTACAATGCTGAAGTGCTCTGTTAATCTCCGAAAGAGCTATATTATCTCCCAACTTTCATTTTGCTATCAATTTTTTTTTTCATGGAACATTTACTTTTTTCCCCATTTAGAAAATTATCGCATCATGTTACATTTGTATAGCATGGTAAAAATAACAACATATTTTGAAAGGCAATTTTTGTCTGTATAACCTTTACTTCCCATACCTTTTTTAATTGCTTTTTAACAATTCTGATCCAGTTGATTATGACAATTTAAAAGCCCTATTCCAAAAATAGGAAATAAAAAGGATCTTATTACACATGTCTTTTTAAACATATGAATTTAATAAATAATAGTATAAATACCTTAATGTAAAAATACAATCTTCCTAGTATTTTATTTATTAATATTTCTCAATGATCATTTTTAGGTCACTGCTTTCTGATGTATCATAGAATAAAGGTCCAGAAAACATATTGCGAGAAATGTTAATATAACAAATTTTTGCAGATATGTTATAATAACCTTTTTCACTTAAGAGCAGGAAGAAAGCAATAGAAAAGAGCAAGTAAGTTCTTACTGTTTATAAAAAAGTTGCTAGTCAACTCAAGATTCCAGAAAGATTCACACTAGAACTGTAGGCTGACCAAAATTTTAAATTGTAAAGTAATCTCAGTAGAAGCTAAATCACAAAAAACAGAAATAGGTTTCTATTCATTTGGCAGTCACCAAGGGAGGGGCATTGCCTGTTGAGAAAAATGTCTTACAAATGGCAGTAAGAAAGAAAATAGAGTTTTGGGATCTAGGGTCGGGGGTCCACGGGGGTGCAGCGGAACAAGACAGTTCACTGGCATAGGTGAAGAAGGCTACTGAAAACCAAAAAAATCCAAACTAAACATCATCTTCCAAAGAGCATGTAGCACCAGATGTGAATTGGAATTTCAAATATTTAAGAATCAGGAAGAGTGCAAAAGAAAGTTCCAAATATAACGCTGTGACAGAGTTGTAAATAATAATAGTAACAAGAATAATAATGAGAAAGAGGAGACAGTAGAGAAGATCTATTAAGAAGATTCTGAGGCTTAGACAAATTGAATGACTCTTCCACAATGGAATGAATGGCCAATGGACACACCCAATTTGTCTACAATTTTCATTTTTAATTCCTTTTAAAAATAGAATATTATTACTTGCTACTAACAGTGATTTAGCATACCCCAGTATGGTTATGTCTTTCTAATAAAGAATAGTTAAAAACAGTTCAAGATAAATTTTGAGTTTGTAGCTTCACCAAGCTACCTAACTAGACAATATTGCCATCTAGTGGCCAAACATCCCAAAGCCACCACTTTTGGGGTGAGAGTAGGGGTCCCCAGAGGACTTTGCTGGAGGTGTTCAGAAGACCCAATGTTAATAGTGATGTCAAAGCCACACCAAGAGCATCCAAACTCATCCAGAGAAAAAGTATGTTGACTGCCAGTTTAGAGAACCCAGTCTGATCCCAAAGGAGAAAGTTCCGCCATCACTGAAACAGGTTTTGATCTGCCTCAGTAATTTCTTTTCCTTTGAACTTGTAATGTCTAATTTTCAAGCCTTTATCGACTTAACTTCTGAAAACAACTTCCAAACATTTTCTCATCCTTACCAGAAGAATGTTGTCTACCACATCCTGATTGGTAAAGAAAGAAGTATTGGTTTATCAACAGTACTCAAGCGTTTGGACCAGATGATGCTCTAAATCTTTGTGACGGTCCAGAATCTCCCCTAGGAGTAAGCAAGAGCTAGAGTCTGGTCTAAACATGACAAAGATGGAAGGGACAGAATAGTAAAGAACTTCTAAGTGTGGAACAAATGCAGCTTCAGCTAAGGTCCCCCTATTCTAGATTTAAGTACGTTCAGCAAACATTCATTGGACTCTCTTGTTTAGGTTAAGATCAGATACTCACTGCTTTTCCCGGTTGACTAGAAGGCTTATTAATCCTTTGCTTCTGCAACCAGACCATCTAGGGGAGTGCCATCAACATGCCAAAAAGGCGTGGGAGAGTGTGAAGACCATCACCACGATTGCACCAATGTCCTACCACTACACTGGGAAGCTCACCTTTGACCCTGCAAAAGCTAAGTCGTGACAGATATAAGAGCACAAACCATCCAGCCATCAAGTCTTCTCTAGTCCATTTTTGCAGAAACAGGGACAGAAGCACTGAACATTGGTTAGGTCTGTTTGAGAAAAGGGACAGCGAGAAAGCTGGAAGAAGCAATTTTCCTAAATCCAAATATGCGCTTTTCCACAATTTGCATCATAGACTGAGTCATGCTCATGCAAATGGATCTTCCTTCAAATTTGTGTCACAAAAATCCAGATCACATTTACTTCCCCATGCAAATCCCCGAGGGAAGCAGCCATTGGTTCTTACCTATAATAAAAAGGATCTCCACGGCAATGTCACTGACGGTTGTGCTCCGAGTTGTAGACAGGTCATCGTTGCCAATGAAGCAGACGTTGTAGGGTACTGTCACGGCGACATAAAACGTCGCCAATAAAATAAGCCAGTCCCAGCCGGCTTTAAAAGTGCTAAAATGCAACAGTATGAATTTGGACTTTTTTGCATCAGAGACTTTGTACTCTGGAAATGCTGGTTTATCTACAAAAACATTCTGTGGATAAAGACAAAAAAGAGAGGAGAGAAACACATTAGGAAACTAGTCACAGAGCCCTTATCGCAGCCTGGTGTGAGGAGTATCATTGATAATGCAGACAATGATTGTGCAAGTGACATCTGGAAGGCGGTGATACAAAAAGTGAAATATCTCTACTGAAATGGTGCAGAGATCTTTGTTACAAGTAAGACAATATGCAGAGTTGAGTCACGAACCTTGAGTGAGTAATTCAGACATGTTCAAAGACCATTGTCTAAATAATTATCACCCAAAACATCCACAGTTGCATGTATAATCTTTATTAACACAAAGATACATTTATATCTTTATAAATATATATAAAGAGGACATTCTCTATACTTACAGTATCATTGCAGACATTATCCAAAAATTATATTTGACCTGAAATTTATCTGATGACAGCAAAGGCTCCATTTTTACTTTCTAGAGAGGATAACTAGATGCCAGCTATTAAATTTTATTTCAAAATTTAACTGGGTTGGTTAGCTACTTGCATTTTTGCATTGTGGTGTGGGAGAACTGTCATGTCAAAACCCTAAATCTCATAACCCTAATTGACCTGGATTTATTCTGACACGGGGAGTCCAGTGAAGATGGCAGAGCAAGCAGCAGTTTAAAAAGTTGTTATTCAAGTCTTGGGAGGAGAAATACACACCATGCAGCTGATTAAATGCAAAAGAATAATAGCTATAGTCGTCATAACTGCAAAGCATTTCACTTTGAAAGCAATCCAAATTGACAAACAATTCTATTGTTGTGAGACAAAAGGAGGCTCAACAATACTGTGTGTGGAAATTTGACAAGCCTAAGACTAGGTACTTGCACCTTGCTTTGGCCTCAGTAATGAGAAATACAAGATAGGTAATGAAAACTAAAATACAAAAGTTAAGTTGAATGAACAGAACAGTTGAAAGTTCTTGTATCCAAGCTACTTGCAGCCAGTTTTTCTTGTTTCAGCCACGGAGGGGAGAGTAATTAATGGGTTATTTTCAGGGATTCCTGATGTGTTTGAGGCTTCATGAAAGGCCCAGAGTCAAATGGGAACCCTTAGCTTTTTCATAGTAACGTTCAGTGCCCCAATATTTCCGCTACCTTGGGGTGTACCCCTACCTTGTACCTCTGTTCAGTAGCATTTCCAACACATTTCTACTTCCCATTAATATTCTCACTCAACCCCTACACCCCTAAACTTCATGTCAGTGTTTCATGACAAGGACTGCTTTACTACTACCAGATACTTCTTTGATGCACACCTGTTGCTGCATCTATGTTGTGTGCAATTCCCTCTGCTTCATTCTCTGGTTCCAGGACCAAGTTCCAAAGGTGGATTTTGGCACAAAACTGAGAAGAGAGTGAGTGAAGTACAATTCTTAAGATTTCTCTTCATACTCCAGTGCATTTCCCTCTCTTCAAAGCACAGGCTGATGCACAGGGCATGGGAAAGTCTGGGCCCACTGGCATTAGTCCTTCAAGGTTGACAAAGACTATTCATAACAGGACAGGAGGGGACAGATTCTAATAGAACGTATTTTCAAATGTTTGATAGAATAAGACATTATTCCAGAAGCCATAGGAGAATATCTTAATTTACCCAACTAAGTCTGTCTACAATGTTATAGAAATGAAATTTTCTCTTGCTTTAAGGTTAAGCCTCATCTAAGAGTAAGGTTTAGAAAAGTTAAGAAATGAAGAATTTCCTTTGGGTTGTGCAGATTACATGAAACACCAGTGATCGTGATGCCAAAGGTCAAGTATACATCAGTTATGGATACAAATCCCCAAATAGATGATGCTGTTTAACTTCTATAAACCACCTAAAACACACACTTGAAGTTAATTTAAAAGCCACTAGTAATTCAATGCATCTCAAGTCAGACAAATTTTAGTTTTAAACTCAATCTTGCCTACATCTTGACCAAGCACCTGAATAATAAAACAAAAACCAAAAACCAAAAAACCCAAGTACCCTTTCTTCTCATTACTATATTTATAAAGTTCTATCCAAAGCCTTTTGAATGGATGAAAATTTCTTATGAAAGGAAAATGTGCTTTAACAAGGATGGGGGGAGAAAGATCAACTTACTTCTAACCAAAGCACAGAGTCTGTATAAAGAATAACACAACTATTCTTGATTTTTGTTAGTCTTTAAAAATTTTTTTTTAAAGATTTATTTATTTATGCTTACACAACTGGGTTACAGGCCAGAGGTGTGGTGGGTGAGAGGATTCACTGGACACAGTGGAGAGCAGAACAGGCAGATCGACAAAGTACACTGCTGAGAGGAGCAGCGGGCGAGTAAGGAGAGGTCTGCACGCCATGTGGGTCAGCTCCCTGGCAGGGGATCGAACTTGTGCTGCAGAGGCTTGGGAGAGCTTCATAATGCGGTGATTTAACCTGCTGTGCCATCAGAGAGCCCAGTCTTTTTTAACTTTGAAGCATACTTCTTTAGTTCCAATGGTGGTTTAACTGTTTACCTTGTACCCAGTGAATTACTGAAACAGAACAGTTAATATATAGCAGGCAAAGTTAGACCCAGGACTAAGACATGTCACATTCTGATTTGAAACCTTGCTAATGGCCTGAAGAGTTCATTTGTCCATGGTTGAGTCACATCTTCCTACTCCACAAAGAAGTATCAGAGAAAAAGCCAGGTAAGGGGATCATTATTAAAATGGAACTAATAAAAATCACATCTTGAACAGACTGATGGAAAAAATCCAATAATGTGATAAAAATATAAAGAATTTGTAAATGACAAAATTGTAAAAATAGAATTTATAAAAATATTAAGAACTTATTGTGTGAAGGTGGTTACCAGCAGAATTCCCACATCCCAAACCCTCACCCCCTCACCAAGATTGATTATTTGGCCAAGAAACTATTTAGCCCACTTCCCCCTTCTCTTCCTATTACCTTTTTAGCCTTTCTACTCTGATCTGGAAAGGAGATGGTAAACAAGGCTGGTCCTGACTCCAGGCCTCATATCCAGAAGTAAGATGTTACCTGTATTATCAGAATCACTATGTTGATTAGACATCCGTAATCACATTTTATTATTTCCATGTTCCACTCTGATGTTTGTACTTCTTAAATGAACGGCAATTTAGCAAATTAGCTAAGCGGTGGGAGTTGCGGTTTTTTAAATCAGATTTTTAAACACGGTTCGGTACTTTGTTGCATCGAAAGAAAAACCAGCATTTTCGAGCAAAACCACTTCCAGCTCCCCAGTACTTGTGATATTCCAATGATTCTGGACTAAAGGCTGGAAGTCACTGTCAGCTGTCAGCATTGCAGAATGGTTGGCTAGTATTTGTTTAGGGTTTTTGCTGGTTGCCTTGCTTAGAACCAAGCCCAGAGGTGGTTACCTTTGTTTCTTCCTGCAACTTGTTTACTTTCACTCAGGCTGACTTGGTAACTGAAAGGAGCTATAAATAGGAGCCTGCAGAAAGATGAAGAGTGAGCACTGCTTCAAGTCTGTCTCTGGACTCTGAGGGCAGCTCTGTGACTCTGGGGCTGGCGCACCGTTTGGGAAGCGATCTTTTGGGTCAGTTCAAGGCAGCAGTGTGTGACTTTCAGCAGCAGTGCAGGGATTGAGACCTTTTTCTGGCTTTCAGACAGGAATGATGCCCTAGAAGAACCAGGTTTGCAGCATTCAGGTCAGACCTGAGCAGCTGCATCTTAGCTCATTACTCGCAAAGAAGCAGATACTTTGTAAATTCTACAGGCTGATTCTGCTCTATCAAAGCATCTGGTTGTCAGGTTTGGGAGTCTCTATGTAAAAATGTCCCTAACTCCCAGAACTTCAGGATCTCAGATCAATTCCAAAATTACTCTGGTTGTTTGATGTGACTTTTTCTAAGATAACAGACAAGTGGGACCCTGAGCACCAACGGCTGCCACCTACAGTTACAAAGTCCCCAAATGTGTGCTCCACCATGCAAATCAATGACATCGCTATCATTTGGAATTTTATCTTTGAAGGTCTGCAACTAAAAAGACACAGCTTTGAATTTCCTGAAAAAGTGCTTGGTGCTAAGAAACAATTATGAAATTAAGTGTGAAATCCTGGAGCGTGTGTCTCATTTAAGACTTCAAAAAATTACCTTTTATGGACAGTTATTTTGCTGTGGCTTTGAATTGATAAGTAGCGGTTTCAGAAAGTAGCTCGACTAATTTAGGAGTGCCACTCTTCACAAAAGTGTGTGGTGTATGGCATATCATTTCAAACCCAATGTTCCACTGTGTGAAATGTCCAACTGTGTCTTCTATAAAATGTAAATTTTTAAATGGAGTAATGACTTTGATTTTCTCCTGGTCTGCCTGGGTAAAAACATTTAGTGAAATTAGAATAAATTTAAAACAGATAGCACACAAATTAAATTTGAGAAATGTTAACCAACCGACCATGTGTGCGTAATCTGTCTTGCTATATCTTCTTCATAAAATGTAACCAGTGTGTCCCGCTCAGTGACCTTAGTACCATACTGTACCGACCGCAATAATATTCTAATCTCTATGCTGTGATAACACTATGATTAAGCACTTTTATTACAGAAATGCCTCATGACTGCTGACCTTTTTCAGCTTGTTCTTTAGAGAAAAGCACCAGCCAAAGTGGAAAAAAATCTTGGAAAGCCAATAAATAATTGGAGGCTTTCCTTAGTAATTCAAACATTGCCACCAGGGGAAACTTGAACATTCAGTGTACACACATACCACCTACATTATTTATTTTCAATTTGTTCTTTTCTCTTCTTTGCAGGTGCCCAGAGATGTGATAAAGGACTGCTCGACTCCGTCTCCGGGCTGAGTCAAAATGGGTTCCTGCTCTTGATCTTCCTTTGACTTTATCTGGGGGAAAAGAAAACTCATTAAGCCCCAACAAATACATCATTTCACCCTAAGAATGTCGACTTTTGACAATTCCCTTCCAAGAGTACACAACACATGTTTTGAACATCTAAAGTTACCTGCCAGCTTCTAATAACATTTTTAGTCTTTCACAATTTATTATTTTTATCAGCACATTAACTATTAACTTTTAAAAATCAGAGTAAACCATACATGGAAATTGGACTTTTGGTGGTGAGCATAATGTAGTATATGTAAGTCTGTGTAAATGAATGCTATAAACCAATGTTACTTCAATTTTAAAAGTTAAGTAAACCATATATGAGAAAGAGAAATTTTCAAAGTTCAGAAAAACATTGAATGAAAACACTACTCCTTTCTTGCTATTTTATATTCATAACCTTAATTGTAAGCTCATTTAAGTTTTTTTTTCCTAGCAAAGTTTCAAGTACATATATCTTATATCCACATTTATATTTTTTCTTTGTATACTTGGTTGTTTACAATAAAAACTGCTTACACATTACTTTTTATTATACATCAGAATAACTATGAGTTTTATACTCATAGTTTTCTGACATCCCTTCAGGGGGTAAGGTTAACATGTTAAGGCTATAACTAGTTTTACTTATTTTAGTATTTCCATATCATGAAAATTTAGGCCTATCCAAGGTTTAAAATAAATCTGTGAAGATAATCCTGCAATGAAAATTCTTGAATATGTAGAGCTTTATGTTGAACCATCAATGCATGTATTACAAAAATTATGAGTAGCAGGGATGAACAATTTAAATCTCCTTCATATTCCAAGTTTATGCTCCCACAAACAGCAAATAGCTATTCCTGCTTAACTAACACACAGTAAAATCATAAAACATAATATAAATGTAGAAAACATAGCATTTTGATAGTATAGTTTGAATTTGTACTTAAAAATGATGAAAGTATATGAAAATTCATTTAAATATTTATTGTCATTTGCATTTATTTTTCTGAAGTCTTCATATGTTGGCAAATTCCAAAGTTTGCTACTTTTCTATTTATTTATAAGAAAATTTTTGTATTCTAACTGCCATTTTCTTGTCATGTAACTGTCGACAATATTCCCACTTTTATTTCTTGGCTTTAAATTTTATTTACACAGTATAATATTTTCATGCTTTATATTTTCAGATATATCAATCTATCCATTTAGGGTGTCTAGACATTATACTCTGTATAGTCAAACTGTCTCCAAATTATTAAAAAAATATATGCATGCTTTCTTCCAAACATTTATCTTTTTTTTTTAGATTTATTTATTTGTGCATACAGAACTGGGGTACAGGCCAGAGGTGCAGGGGCGGTGAGAGGATTCACCAGAGACAGAATGGGGAGCAGAACAGGCCGAATGACCGACTGATGAGGTACACTACTAAAGGGAGCAGCGGGTGGGTCAGGAGAGGTCTGCTGCGTCATGTGAGTCACCTCTGGGGTGGGGATCAAGCTCATGCTGCAGAGGCTTTAGCTTCTTAGTGCTGTGCTTTAACCTGCTGTACCACCAGGGAGGGCCCACATTTGTCTTTTATTTTAGTAAAATTGGTTAAGTACTCAACTATGTTCTTTTCTTCCTTAGGGTCCTTCCTAAAGGGCCCTCCCCAAAAGGTCCAAGAGAAATAAATTGATTATATAACATTAAAAACATTTAGTCTTTATTTGGCCAGTCAGTCACATATAACTTTCTCCTAAGTAGACTAAATACAATGATTACAAATCATAAAATACAAGAACAATTAGTTTTTAGCGTTATCAAATTCTTATTAGTATAATGAAGGCTCTTTGAGTCCCCTTCTTCATAAAAATGATTAGATTTGGTTGTTCCAATGGGGAAGCCACATGACCATCATTGATGGTTGCTGTGTATCAAACCCTGTTCCAGATGCTCAATCTATCATTTCAGTTAATTCTCATAAATACCCAGGAAGATAAGAATGATTAGTTTTTCTTGAGATGAGAAAACCGAAAGTACTAGAATATAATATGATCACGCAGCACATGAGGGGTTCCAGAATCCCTCTCTTTCCACGGCAGGACTGAGTCCCTTCATTACTTCAACCAACACTCAGGAACATAACTGTGTATTGAGGGTCACACAGACAGATGTGTATGTGTATGCCAGCTTAGCCAGGACTGTCTCCCAAACTTGAACCATCCCACTTTACCCCACTCCAGCTCATGGCTAGCAAATATGATGTTAACTACAAAAATCTTACTTGATGTTACAAGGTTTTTTCACAGTTCACTTGTCATATCATATTTTGAAAGTCTGCTTAAAATGTGATGGGCTACTATAGACTCTAATTATCTTTAAAACCACAAAGTCGAATATAAAAGGGGGTGATTCTTGTGGAAACTTCTGGCTGAAAATGCATGTTTGATTGTTTTTGCTAGATGTTAAGATTCTGTCTTCATGTGTTCACTTTTTTGCTTCACCTAGAACTACTGTAAATCACGTTTGAAAGTGTCATTATTAATCCAGCAGGGAGTAATTTGAAATATATTTAAATTTGAAAACTGCCAGAGTTTTAAAGCAATGAGTGTAGGGGTGTGATGGGAAAGGCTGCCTTTAAAGTATCAACTGGGATCCAAAATGCCAGGTGGAATCACAAAGCTCACTACAAAATGGACCAGAGCAGAGATTTATCACAGTCCAGGAGCCTATTCCTTTCCCAGTAGAGAAATCTAATTAATAGCTGAGATTTTCTAAAACAAACAACAGCAATTTTATAGTCCTAAAAAAGGGCTGCTCAAAGGAAATGTCAAAGAAACATATCTATTTTGGTCTTCGTTGTAAATGGAAGGAAAAAAGATTTCCTTGTAGAGATTCAGTCACAATTTAACCTTTCTGCAAGATTTTGGTTGAATATCTTTCCACTTAGGTGATCTAAAATCTCCCAAGTGGAAGAATAAATTTAAAATGGTCTTAGGTTAGTGCCACATCCCGCTCACACTGCTGGATACACAAAACCACTGGGAAACAAAATAAAAAAATTCCCAGAGGGGAAAACCGGCTGCATTAGGAATGCTGGTCTGGGTTTGGCAGAATATACAGGAGAAATGTTAAGGGAATGTGGCTTAAAGGATGTACAAGCCACAGGATGGAGGCGTGACTGCCATGAAGAGCCCCTGAAGCTACTGACTCAGGCACACCCCAATGCTGGAGCTCCTAAGACCCAGCAGTGCACTGGGAAAAAAGTGTATGAGCCTGTACCCAGGCAGGAAAGCGCATGGCAGGCTACTACTGCTGGCGTGAGTCTGAGGCTTTTAACACTGAACAACTAAAGCCTGGATCAGGTAACAGCACCTGTCCCTCCTTACAGCAGAGACTACATCTGAAGCCCAGGCTGAGAGATTCCAAACACCTGCCAAGCCCTACAAGAAAAACACTTGAACAATTCAGAGGTGAAGCGTCTACCAAGAACGGAATGGATACCCCAGAAAATTAGACTTTGTGCTGGGGAGGAAAAAAGAATAATTCCAGACCTATAATCCTGTATCATTTAGAATTCACATCCAACACGGCAGTTATTTCTTAAAAATAGTCCAGAACGGAAGTGGACATGAGATGGTAAGAAACACTGAAATGAATGAAAACAGTAGTAAACTAGCAGTTAGGAAGAAGGTGAAGATTTCGATGGTCTGGAGGTTACCATCGGGTCAAAGAAGGTAAATGAGTAGCGTGTAAGTAGCATAGTATTGTGTCAATCAGCAGGATGATTAAGCAGTTTCAATGACTGAGCAATACTGAGTGAAGATAATTTACAGGAAAAAAAATTGAAGTTAACCTTATACTCTAGTGAGTTAGGACTGCTCAACAAAACATCGTCTCAGCTATGTTTTTCTTTTTAAAAATATTTATTTTATTTATTTTTGCATACAAGAACTGGAGTAGAGGCCAGCGGTGTGGGAGATGGGAGAATTCACCAGAAACAGAGTGGGGAGCTTAACAGGATAGACTGAAATATACTGTGTAGGGGAGCAATCGGGGAGACAGGAGAGGTCTGCTGTGCCATGTGGGTCAGCTCCTTGGCCAGGGATGGAACTTGTGCTGCAGTGGCTGTGGATAGCTTCATAGTGCTGAGACTTAAGGCCTTGTGCTACCAGGGAGGCCCCATCAGCAATATTTCTTCAGCCTCCATCCAAGTCTGGACATTGGTCTAGGAACTTATTCTCATTTCTTCTTCACTTTGTAGTCATTAGTTTTCCACTGATTGAAAAGTAAAGTAAAGGTCATAGAAATCATGTAGTTTGCCAAGATTCTATGTGAGTCCTTTTTTTTTTTTGAAATCTCTGATTATTTCTGCTTCCCTTATTATTAGATTATAGGCATTAAGCAGTAGTCTCTTATTAGATATTTCACTTATCTGTGATACCCTGCTCAGCAGAAATGGATCTACTTCCTAGATAAGATTCTTTCCTTTGCTGGCTTTTCTCCTCCCATTTCATTCTTTTCCTTGCAGGAAGGAGACATAAACAGGAAAATGTCCTCTCTGCTTGTTATTTTATCTCCATTTGCTTTCCATTGGCCCTTATAGTTCCCCCTTTACCAGTATAGAATGATTTCATAAAATGCTTTTATTAATTCAGAGGCTTCTGGCTCAAAAAATAGCCCTTCTCAAAACAATAAAAAGAAAATATAAAATCATGATTTTTAAGCTCTAAAATTTTGAAGAAGAAATCAGAAATTTTCAGAAAGACAAAGGGATAGCGAAATAATTTTACCTCAGAAATTCTATTTTTTTAGGTAGCAATAAATACATAAAATGATAAGGAATTTATTTACCCCTATCTTTTCTCCATTTCTATCTAGCATAGATTCCCATTTTTTTCACATGCTCATTGATCATTCATACCAGCTATTTTTTTTTTCACACAAAGATAATTTCAAAAATGTTTCCCAAAATAGAAGTGGATGGAAAAACCATTGATCTACTTCAGTTCTCACCAAAACTTTTATAAAG